TCAAGAACAGTACAGCTGTGTATCTTCTGGTAGACATCATCATTTCAGGGGGGCAACAGAAAGACCTATGTGATCCCATTTGTTTCATGGCTTAAAACAACCATAGCTGGTACTGCAAGCAGTCCACAAGCTCCCTGCAGTGCAGCCTTCTGAACTTGTAGGTGCAGAGGTCAGCTCTGAATAAATAAGTGTCAGTCAGTGATGCTCCCTTTGCAGAGCAAAAGTGGGCAAGGAATATTCACTAATGACTGTTAGACATGGCAGACGTAGACATGCTGCCATGGCAAAGGCTTATCAGCTCGTGCTGAGACACTGTCAGGAGCTATATTGGACTTGGCCTCTTATATCTTTCACTGCTGGTAAGATGCCTGAAGAGAGGTCCTGACCCTACAAAGGTCAATGCTTTAACTGCCATTGACTCCATGTTTACTGTCAGCAAAATTACAGTGGAGCAGTGGTTTGAGAACCCTTTTTTCTTAAAATTTGACATGTATAACTGCTGTAGATTTTTACTTCTGTTACTCTAAAACACAGTGTGCTTCATGAGGGCAGCACGTTGTGCTAATATACCAAACGTGTGTTCATTTGTGAGTCAGGTATTCCTGACATACAGCCGTTCAGGGCAGGATATCCCAGTTAAAGGCTGATGTTCTAATCTCTTATGTATGTTTTCCTACAGAAGGAGGGAACCTTAACTCCAGTTATATCCAATATGACCTCAGTCTTCTCCTCACTCAAAAGACTGCCTGTGGAGAACAGACCTGAAAATGGTCCTCATCAAACTTGCACTCACAACATATTTTTTTTCAGCCTGTTTGCTTTCATATGAGAGGATTAAGTTTAAATGATGTGCAAAAACAGTGAGCCTGACCTATGTACAGCCACCACTTGCTCAAATTTTATCCTTTGCAGAAATCCAAAAAGAAGGCTGTCTTTTTGCAGATAACCTCTTCAGTTCTGGGAAAAAGGAATTGAAAGACTGAAACTCAGAGAGGATCCAAACAGTTTCATAGGCAAAGGAGTTAAATATGCAACTGGCTGCCAAAAAAGAAAAGAGGATGTGGTGATGGAGGAGTATGCATTTAGTCTTGGGTGAGGTTAAATCATGGGAGATGGCAGCATGGGAGGTGTAAATGGTGAAAGGGTATAAATCTGAAGCAAAGGTGGTGTGTCAGGTATGGCATTTCTCAGGAGGATGTGAAAATACAAAATACCTGTGACTGGGTCACAGGAGCCAGCAGAGGTGCACAGCCAAGGTCACAGGTGTGCTCTGCTTACATCCAGCCTCCTTAGTTCGCAAGGACTTGGCTTCAGCTGAACTCAGGAGCTCTGGAAGGTCAAAGTATGCCACTGAGCAAGCTCTTCCATACTAACAATGTTATTGTCACCGCATATGGCTGATGTTTAAACCAATCCGGGTAATGAATGTTAACAGATTGCACACAGATATCTGCCTGGAGTCTAGATGTCATCTCTGTCGTCCGCAAGGGAATTTAAGAGCTGAAGTTGGGGCAGTGAACTTCTAAGTGGAGTGGAAGAACATGTGTTGTTAGGAAACACCTTACGTGGGACAACAGTGTATGTTGAGCTCACTGAATTAATGTTCTGTGGACTGCAATAAGATCACTGTCCTGAATTCACTGCTGTTGGCACAGGACAGAGATGATTGCACTGTTCTCCCTGTGTTGGGCAGTTTTCGTTCTCGGACAGATGCTTTGATTTCAGGTGATCTCTCCTCTGCTGTTGTTTGAATTTTGCTGGCCTTTTCCCATGGCATTTGTTTCGCACTGCTTTAACCATTCCTGTGGCATACCTGTGCAGGTCAAGGTGCAGTGCTTGTGTATTGCAGTGTCACCTGGATGCAGCCCGATGTCTCTGCACAGGCATCAGTGCCTCATCTGAAACATCTCCGCTATGAGAACAGACAGAGAGAGTTGGAGCTGTGCAGCCTAGAAAAGAGAGAGCTCTGGGAATATGTTATTGCTTTTGAGAAAAGACAAGGAAATACTTTGTACCTGTAGTGACAGGACAAGGGGCAGTGGTTTTAAACTATAAAAAGAGCATGTAAAAATATAACTCAGTACCATGGCAATATTATATAATACAAATGATGTCCTTAACATTTAAGACTACTTAGAAATAGACGTAGCAGTCAGACAGGGCAGTCTTTATGGCACAGAAATAAAGATAAATAAAATATCAGAAGATGAATACAACTAGCATCCTATAAGTGTGAACGTTCCTTTTATGGAGAGAACTTGTGCACATTTTATTAGAGATAATAAGAGAAGCATTTCATTTTTACAATTTAATGCTAGCAGTGGCATAGTCTTTCATTATACTGGCCTCATGGAACTGCTTTTGCAGAATACAGCTTTAAAATGTAGATCAGCATTAAAGAATTTTGAAATGAGAAGAAAATGCTGTTTGTCCCTTAAATGGGCCCTTTGTTTTAGTATCTATAAGGAGAACTCTCTTCTCCAAATCCTTTCTCTCCAGGAGGAATCAGCAGGCAGGCCCATTGTGTGACTTATTTGAAAGTTAGGAGGCTGAAAAGCTTTACAAGAATCATTGTAGTCTCGTCTAAAATATATGCAGGATTGAAGTGTAGACTTGGAGTTGTTGGTAGCTTTTCAGCACATACAAGAGAAGGATGAGGTGATTAGATTAGTCACAAAGTGTTAATCCTGCAGAAATGGAAAGTTTAAACAAAAAAATCCCAGCCCTTGTTTTTCCAGCAGATTAGCTGGTGTGAAGAGAGCAGCACCTCTTCTTTCATTGTCTGAAGTCTATCATTGCTCTCCCAAAGTTCTCACACTGAAAATGTCATCGTTGTAAATAAATAGCTTGTCTCTAAAATTGTGCCCGTTACAAAGCACTGTCTAAACTCATTAAGAAAACTGTTGTTAGCTTTCTGCTATTATGAAAGCAGTTTTGATCAGACCCGGAAAAAGATAGTAAAAGTGGGGTAAAAGAACATCCTTTCTGACAAATGTCTTCTGCCAAACATCTTCCAACCCAGTTGTGCAGGCTTAGTTTTATCCATCATACTGATCGTACTCCATGCTATTGACTGAAATTTTATGCTTTCTTAGGGTACAGTTTCCATGAGAGCTAACAGTTCCTGCCCACAGAGAGAGAAGGTAGGATCTCAAAGCACCAAAGAACTGTGGGTTGTGGAGAGAAAGTGGCCTTCGTTCACAGATTCATAGTTGTGCCAGCTGCCAAGCCCTGCTCAGGACCGGGTCAGGCATCGGCACTGATTCCTTGCTAGAACTATTGCAGGAATTCAGAAACCCTCTGTGTCCCAGACAGACCTGAGCATGCTTCCCACTGCACCTGTTCAGCCAGCAGCACATCTCACTTGCTCAGTTTGTAAGAACATCTTTCAGGAAAAAAAAAATAAAAAAAAATTGAGCTTACTCCTTATCAGATGCAAATGGTATTTGTAGAAATGTGACTGGTGGAGCTAATTTATCCCCTTGGGATATTACTGTGTGGATAGATAGTAAAGGTCTGATGTTTTTACATTATCTGTACACGCCTCTCCTACATCTAATCGCATACAGGAAACAACATGCTTCTGTTCCAGTTGTGCATTTTCTTCAGTTGTTACCCTCATTTGAGCAAGTAATGCAACTTTAAGACTTCACAGCTTGAATACAGCATGTTTCATCATTTTTAATTTCCCACTGATGGTATTTGCTATTAGACACTTTCCAGTGGTGACAGAGGAATAGACTAGACCATGACATTCTGCTTTACATGAATCAGGTACTCCTTTTTAAGTGTACTGACACTCAAAAAATGCAGTGGCTGACTGGAAGCACTGGCTGAAGCCTCCTGCTCAGCATAGTGGGTCACTATTGAGCATCTCTCAAGCGTCAGTGCTGAATATGATCTACACTGTTAGTGTGGCTAAGGGTGAGAGAATATTTCCTTGTGAAACAGTTGAAAACTGTTTTCATGTGTTTTTCTCTTTATAAAGAAAAATCTGGAGTCTGAAGCAAAATATTATGGTTACAGTGAGGTTGTGTTTTGGTTTGGTTTTCACCTAATGGCCCAGATTTAATAAATGGAATTAAACCATCTAGATTTCTTCAAGTCTGGAAGTGGTGACAGTTCAGCAATGCTAGCATTATTTTGCTATGTGATCACATATTGGCCCTGGATGCTAACCTTAGTCTTTTGTTTTCTGAAGTCTTTGTGTTGGGAATAATCTCTGCTTATTTATGTAATGAGCTCCATGAGCCTTTTAAGTTAAGACCTCTATGATAGTAATTAGTGCAAAGGGGAAATTACCTTTGCAGCCTGTATTACATACTGTTTTATACAAGATGTTTTCATGCCATATCAAAATATCTTGCTTCCTGCACTTGTAAGTGCAGTAAATTAACTAAAAATGAACTACTGTGGCAATATGCAAAGGAACAAATGGGCTCAAACAGGGAAGAGAACATGCAGTGAAAGTTCATGTTCTCTGGCTCAAACGTATTTCTCCTTCCTGCATGCCTTTGGGTAAGTCAGCTTTTATAGGGGGACCTTAAGATGCATCCCTCCTTCTTTAGGAAATGTATGGGTCTGCTGTGGTTTTTTCCCATAGAAATCTGTGGTAGTGTTGGATGGGGATGTGCATAGATTCTCCATCACCAACTACTGAAGGAAGAGAGGTGAACCGAGAGCCCTCTGCCCAGTAGAAAAAGATACGGAGCTTTTCTTGTGGCTTTCTAACAGTCTGTGAGCTTTGGGGACAAATCCAGTAGGATGGATTATTGATGTCGGTGGTGCTTATTGTTGGAAGTAACACCAAAGTGCAGTTGTGAGTAGATAGCCAAGAAAGGTTGTCTGCATGCAGCTCTTTGCTGCTTTGAGGTTCCCTAAGTGGAGTAGACTTCTCCAGCTCCAGTGTTTTCTCCCAAACAGGAGCAGTGATCCCTTTTAATGTCTGGTTTTGTTTGCTGTAGAATAATTCCAAATATGTTGTTTCCTTTTTGTTTTAGGCTCTTAAGGACCCAGTCTCTGGATTGGTACTATAATAATGTGAAGAGCCGCTTCAAGTGTTTTGGAAGTGCCAAAGTCCTGAAGAATTTATACAAGAAGCATAGACTGGAGAGTGGCGTTTGTCCTGATGTAATAGGTAAGAGCAGCTGTGTTCATTTGTTATGACCTTATCTGCTTCAACACAAGAACAGAAACAATGGAAATTCTGAGAATCTTTTTCCTAAAAGATTTTGTAATGTTGTATCTTTCCAGAAATACCAAACTAGAGAGAACAAAGAGGTAAAGTGCCTCGAGAGCCATTTCAATAATTTAAAGAATGTCTAGTTGTAGTTACACCACTGATAATTATGATACTACTCAAAACAGAATTGTGATCTTCAGTCTGTGAAGTAAATTGCAGTTTGTATTCAAGTTCGTATCCCAGCTTTTATTGCAGTTCTGAGTAGCCAATGAGTGAGAGAAAGATTTCGCATTCAGCATTTGGCCTGAGAATATTTCTGTGGCATTTGAAGCAAAATTTGGTCAGCATGGGATACATTTCATATGTCTAAGCTGACCTAAACTCAGTTTGTCCACAAAGTTTTGCTATCAGTAAGATCACAAACTGGCCACGTTTTATTTTTATAAAGGTGTTTGTAAAGGGTTAAAAGAAAATTAAGAATTGATAGCAACCTTTAAATGAAGAGACATGATCCTTCCTTAACAGTGGTGTTACAGTGCATCACCCCATAAAAATAATTGGAGATGTAAAATAGATTCTTAAGTGGTGTTTTGTGTCATGCTGGTAATTTTAGTGAATTAATTAAAGTTCAACTGGATGAATGTTTGAGATCTCATTGGCTTTATTGGGCCAAACATTTTCCTAATGGAATTCTTTCAAATTCTACAGCAGCTGTAGCTTTTCTACAGTTTTCAACTTTTTCTGAGATTACATGGGATGGCCAATGGCCTCTCTAGTCCCAAGCGAAAATTCCAGTTGTTTCTCATGAATATTGCTGTAAACTTTTAGGAAGCAGTGACCGATGCATTCTGGTTTATTATTATTTTGCTGTACCTGCATGAATTTGTCTTTGTAGAGAAGATTCTGTAACAGCTGAGAGCAAATATGTGTAAAGGCAAGAATACATCAGTCAGGATGGATGTGGGGCTTAAAACTGAGGGGAGGGATCACTTTCCTGTGACATACAGTCTTTCCTTAAGCCACACTGTCATTGGATTTGTCCCTGAGTGGTACAGCAGACAGTTCAGTGACAAGATGCAGTGGCATGTGCTCTGTGAGTCTTTTCTGAGGAAGGTCTTTGAGTCTAAATGTCATGGCTAACTTTCCTCCATGTGACTGTAAGGTAAACCTTTTGTTCCACTTGAAGATAAATTCTAGCACAGATATCTAGTTTTGTCTTATTTATACAGCGTTGCCCTTTAAAGTAGAATCTATTTCAACCCCATGTCATATTAAAAGCAAATTCCAAGTGCTTAACTTTCACCATGTAAGTTTTATATTCTAGTAGCTTCTTCCTCTTTTATTGTACAAATAATTTTTCATTTCAAAAGGAGTCATATTTTGTACAAAAATTGCTGCAATCATGTTTTATATAAAAAGGTAAGAGGAATTTTCCAGTTATCCTTCTTTGTGTGCGTTGCCGCTGTACCTCGAGAGAATATCCTAATCTAACAGTGACTCTGCTGTGAGTGGGTATTTCTTATACTAACGTGTGGTGCTGGTTTTTTTGAGCAGAAGGAGGTTGTTTTGAAGGAAGCTTTGAAAATGATGGAAGCATTTGTGGCAGTGATTCTACATTCTACAGGCAGACAGAAGGTACACTGCTAAAGACTCATTTCATTAAAACATAGCCCTTACACTTTGAATTACTGGACAAATGGCCTAAAGTGCTGAGAAGTCTTGTTCACAGATCCAGCCATCTTTTAGCTGGAACATTCAGAAATATATTAAAAATCCTTTGTGTTCATATGTGCCATGCTGAGATTTCATGCTTCAGTATTCAAGATATTACATGCTTACTCTGGCATGATTTTCTTAACATTCAGTATTTGCTGCTTCTCTCCTACTTCTTTTCTTATGTTCATGGTTTTTTTTTCTTTTTTTTTTCTTATATCCTCTTAGTGCTTATAGGAAGCTTATGGATTTTCCCCCCATGATTTCCTTCTTAGTTACTGAAATACCATGGTTTATGGTATTTAATATTTGAATTTAAGAAGTTACATGGAAGTTGGTAGAAAAAAATTGCTTGCTCTCTCTTAAGGTGTTTATTTTGCTATGCAAAATTTGGGGTTGAGGAAATAAATTTAGTCATGAACAAAATAGGAGAAAATATGTCTGGAACATGGGTCTAAAGTTTGCATTCTGTCATGCAAAACATAAATAATGAACATGATCATTTCAATTTACTCTTCACCTAGGACACAGCATGATGGATACCCTTGCTGTGGCCTTACGTGTTGCTGAGGAAGCAGTGGAAGAAGCTATTTCTAAGGCAGAGACCTACAGTGACAGCCTGGTAACATCTTCTAATACAGTTTGTTAATTTAAACATAACAATTATTTTAATGTGAGTAGTGGTACTAAAAGAAGTAGATATAAAAGAAACAATGAAAAAAGAGTAGTGACTCATGTGTAACCTACAGTGTTGAGCATGAGTTTTATGAACTTGTATTCAAGATGTATGTTGTGCTTCAGAAAGTGACATGTGATGTAAGTACCTGCAATCTCTTCCCACAATGCCAACAGGACATAATACCCATTTTCTGATCTGTACAAATTATGTGAGAAGTCTACAGGTATTTATTGGCAACTACAGGTATCTGTTTTCATGCAGGACAAACAGAACGAGGCTTGTTACTTGCAAGAACACAAGGAGGATCTCATAGAAGAGCTGGCCACAACCATTGTGCAGAAGGTATGGCAAGCATTTTTCACTTTTTTTATTTTAGCTTCTTTAATAACCAAAACATGATACTTTAATCCAGTGAGCTTGGGCTCTAGCAGAAAACAGTATGACACCAATATAGGAAGTACATAATAAATGACAAGTTGCAACCTCAACTATCACAGTCAAGGCTTAACCAACTGTATCTGACAGTGACATTAGTGAACAAATAAGATTAATTTAGTGTCTAAAGTGATGGCCTACACACTCAGAGCTGAAAGGTACAATTCCTTCAGTCTGTGATATACTAACAGAGAAGAGGAGAACCCTACTTGCTCAAACTTAAAATCTGTATTTGCCAAGATGTACAAAATTTTCCCCTTTAAAGGAACAGGCACTTGACTATACCAACTGTACTGAACTCTGCATCTACAAAACATAGAATCATTACGAGACAAATATTAACAGAGAGAGACAAAAAAATCACAGAACTCGTCTGATTTGTTTGGCTTTTTCTGGGAAGCTTTGTCTTCTGCCTGCAAAGCAGCAGGTGGCACTAATAGAGCCACAATAGAACCAAAATGGACGGCTAGTTTGGAACAAATACCCCTCGAGACTGCCTGGACAGACTGGAGCAAGGCAAGACAAACATGAAAAAACTGATTCTTAGCTTCAGTGATTAAAGAATTAGCCACAATGGAGGATCAATCTCCCTCCATGTGAGCTAACCTCGTTACCATATTTGTATATGAGATGCAGCATTCAGCAATATATGAATGACTGGAACAGGAACATGTTTACAGGGCTGTCAAGTAGAGCTAGAGGAGCAGCAGCTCAATGGAAAATAATCTTCCTCATTTTTTAATAGGGATCTTAGAAGATCAGGTCTCCTTACTAGGTCTTTGATAGTCCAGGGCCTATATTAGTTAAGCTTGAATTGCTACCACATTTGTTAAAAGCTGCCTAGCAAGATCTTTCATAGGATAACATTCTGTAGATATTTTAAAGTGGAGTTGGGAAACATATGGAAATGAAGCACAGCAGGAAATAATCTGCTAGTGTAGGGGGAAAGTAGTTTATATGATCTCTCTCTCAAGACAGTCTAGATTTGCAAGAACAAAAATAGTGTCTAGACAGCTAAAACCTCTTGTTTTAAGTAGAAATGTTTCTAGATGTCATAGGAGCCTCTGAAATTCCCCTCATATCTACTATGTTATGTGTCTTTGCAAATGTTCTTATCTGAGAAAATACCTGACATTGGATGCTGCTGATGCTTAAAGTGTTAGGGTAGGATCAGGTTTCCACGTTTATTTAATTCACTTCTGGTGTTCCTCCAGGCATTGATTATGATTTATTGTACCGAAGCTTGTGTGCTTGCATGCAGTCTGACTTTAGATGAGAAATGTGTGTGCAGCTTGTCAGAATCATCCTTGCATGAGCTGGGAAAAAAAGCAAAGGGAAACTGTTTTCTAGGGAGTTTGTCTTGAGAAAGAGTTAATGTCATGTTCTCCATGAAAAAAAGTACCTTTTTTTTCCCCCTTCCTTCCATGTCCTGCCCTCCCACCCCACTCCCCCAACCTTACAGATTATAAAGAAGCAGAAAGGCAAAACTGAGCAGGCTGAGGCTGACTTCGAATGGCCACCATCCAGAAGCAGTGGCCTGGCATCCGTTGCTGTTTCAGATCAGAGCATGCTGACCTTTCCTGGGAGTCGCAGGGGGTCATACACACTGTGGGTGAGTGACTAAGAGAAAACATTGATGTTTTCTGCTGCACAAAGCTGCAGTATCGAAATCCTGGATGAGTATGCTTCCTGCCTGGAATGATGCAAATAGACTTACAAAGAACAAGCATTAAATCTGTGTGTTGACAGACACATCACTCAGTTCGTACTTTTCATAGGACGTGGTGGGTTAGGGAAGTACATCACAGACACTGTACTGCATTGGTGAGTGCATTAGGGAAAACTAAGTTCATTCCAAAGTGGTTTTGCTGCTTGATTTGAATGCTAAAAAGATACCATGCCTCAGTGTTTATTCCTTAAACTTTTTATGTTCACTTAGGTTTTACTTGGATTTTTTGCTGAATTTACCTACGAATCTCGTCTACCATCATAGATTTCTATAAATTATATTTTGTTCCTTAGCCATCTGAAAGAAAACAGTCCCTACAGAAAAACAAAAACAAAAACAAAAAAACACAAAGAAAAAACCCTAAAAACAACTTTACTGCGTCATTTATGCCTTATATACTACAGAGTATTTCAACTTCCTCTCACTTATTTCTCACCACAGTGCCTTTAGTTCCTGCTTACAAAGCTGGAGAAAATCTGACAAGCTGCATTAGTAATGTTTTAAGAAGAGCAGCTAGGGAAAAGAAGTGAAAATAAGTGATAGGCTTGAATACGTTGTTTTACAACTGGAGAGTGAAGACAGTGACAGATGAGTTCCAGTAAATTTTGATAGAGTGGTTTAAGCTGCTGCTCCTGAATATCCTGCTGCTGTGCTCATGCATGCTGCTCCCCCACAGCAGTCTTATCTCCAGCTTAGTTTGCCAGCTTACACTGCCAGTGAAAATAGATTTACCCCGGAATATAAGACTCTGGGCCAAAATTGCAGAGATATAAACGAGAGTATCCCCCCATCTACTTCCAAATTGGAGTGAGCAGTGCCTTTAAGCTGCTGCTGTTTACCGAGCTATCACAAATCAGAGTGGGCATGTTTAAGCACTTTGCTCTGCAGCTCCTAGGCTGTTATGTTAGCCTACTAGGACAGCAGAAATACAGTCACATTCACTCTAGCAAAAGGTCTGCTGGAGAGTGTACTGAAAGACAACTTGTGCAGAGCAAATTTAGAGCGGTTACTACCTGCCTGATACTCAACAGCAAACATACTCAACAGTAGAACAACCCCGAATGCTTTTACCTGAGCTTTCCATTCAATATTGCTTTCATCCACCTATAAATGCTAAGCACACACACCAGATTTGGGGGGCTGAATTGCATTAATTTCTCCTCTGTTTGCCATTTGAGAAAGCTTTTGTCTATTCTGACAAAAGTATTGCAGTACTTCATCTTTCCAAAATGAAAGCCTGGATTCTAGAGAAGTTGGCAGTTAGGTCCTATGACCAGATGAAAAGTTCCTTACACCCTTCCAGGAGGATTTTAGAACTCTTGTCCAAATTTGTGACAGCAAATCTTTATGAGCTTTTATTGCAGTAAGTGAAGCTTTCCTAACTGATGGCACTGATGTTCACCAAAATAATGCAAACCCTCAATTTTCCTGTACACATCCTGTCATTGAGCTGTATGTGATTGTTGTCATAATGTGAGCAAATATTAGCCACAACAAGCCTAAGGGAAGGAAAAAGGAAAGCATTTTAAGTGTGCTGTTACAAAGGCTGGAGTTGTCTATATACTCCTGTTTCCTTTATGGATTACTTAAGTAGACTTTGGTCTTTGGAAAGCAAAGAAACAACTTAGTACTTGAAGCAAGCAGAAACAAGATAGATTAAATGTAAGGGAAGAAGAAATAATTAACAGAAATATAAATATGCAGAGGGCAGGGAAGTAACGATCTCAAACATTAAGGCAATTAGAATTTCACACGTTCGAACTAGGAATTTATCTTAAAGTAAATATCTATATTTATATTCTGTGTAGAACATAACACGTGTGGCTTACTAGTATAATAAAGCTAACAACGTTGGTGCTTAAGGCAGTTGGGTGCCATAACACTGGCCACTAGAAACCTGTATTTATTACTGCATTGCACTGTATTACCAGAAGCTTGCTAACAGCATGGGGAAGCTGTAGTGATCCCAATATAATAGTGGGGTTACACTTGCTGAGCAGTTTTTTTCTAAACACAACTACTTACATGGAGCTCATTCACATCATTCAGAAAATTCCAGTGGGCATCCAAAATCACCAGCTTTGAAATGACCATTGCATTTGTTTGGTTATCTCTTTGTAGATGTGCACTGTGGAAGCCAACAGACCGGCTGCATGAGACCTGCTTGATTAGAGGGAAATCTATTGATCTCCTCTATAATGAGCCCTTCCCACCTCGTATCTCCCTAAGATATATTATTGATTGTTTAACTGCAGTATTATGGTATGGCAGTAGCTAAAAATACTGTCTTCTCCTTTTTTACCTCTTGGATTTCTTCAAGATCCCTTGTCTGTCCTACAAATATATATATTTTTTTTAGCACAGCTGACTATTTTATTTCTCCATCTCATAAAAAGAGATAGATGGCACCATCTGTTTCTCATTATCAAGCAGAGGCTGTACAGTGCTGGGATAGGAGGAGCCTAACGTGATGGATGGGTGATTCCATGCTCCTGCAGTCCCTTTCTGCCCCATACATCACTGCCAGTGAGAGCAAACGACCAGTTGGCATATTGCATCCCATTTAAACACTGATGGAGTGCAGGCATCCTGGTGTGCTTTAAGTGCTGTATTAGCGGTCTTTACTTTATAGCTACAAGATTGCATATATAAACAGAAGCTCATCCATAATTTATAGTATTTAAAACAGCTAGGGATATAGGGAAAAGGAGGATTTCATTAAATACACATTATGATGCCCCTCAGGGGAAGTGGAAATTTACTGGTTAAGCTAATTATAAGGTCCGCAGTGTACTATGAGTTCTTTGGGTTTTTTTTTTCCTTTTCTGTTCTTTGAATGCTTTAAAGTCTGAGGTTCAACACTGCTTTGGAAATCCCTGCAGATTTTGCAGGTGTTCTGTGCCTTTGTAGGTTTGTCCCAAACAAATATTTGAAGAACACCTTTTCAAGGAGGAGCTCTGTTCAGCAGTCATGTAGTGCAGCAGGAGAGCTGCTTCACATGAGGGAGGTGTAATGCTGTAGGAAGTTTATGCCAACTCCAGTTCTTACCTCTCAACAACTTTGTGTCAGAAAAAAAACGTATTATGGCTCATTAGTATATCATGTCATAGATGGAGCTTTCAGCATCAGCAGGGATCAGAAAGTTGCACAGAATGTGTTGCCTGGACCTAATGCCTTCCAATAAGGCATGCCTGCTTTTACGCTGGATCCTGGCGGGCTATTTACTTCCTTACAAGAGAAGCCAGATTCTTTACACAACCTATCACATAATGGGAAAGAACAATAAACTCTGAAGTGGAAAAGCCATGAGTGCGCTAGAAATAATGGATCTTTTTAAATTCACTTCAATTTCGAGCAGATCCAAGTTTCTCTAAATGTTTTGCAGCTTATGAATCCTGCTGCCATCTACTGGCTTTTCAAGTGTAACACTGAAGTCTCATTGGAATACTGATCAGGAGCTAGCTGACCATTTGACACTTGATGCATTTCAGATCAACGCATCCCTGGGCACAGTAATCTAGTTCATTTCCTCTCTTCCACTGCAATAGAAAGATAGGGTACAGCTGCTTTTGCAGTACTATCTCAGCAGTCATTATCACCTTTTAAGGCTTCATGTAGCTAAATAATCAGTGCAAAGCTCAACATGGCAGCATTGTCCTTTTTAAGTTGTGTAGTTCGAATTTGTTTGAGATGCAGCCCTAGCAGAAGATTACTCATTCTGGGCTGTGTAGTACTCTTTGTGCACTTGACAAACATCCAAAAAGACAGCTTTGGATTCTAGATATATGATCAAGCCCTTGCAGCAAGCCAAGATACGTTTTAAGGCATGAAAGGAAATAGGAGAGAGGATAGAGAAAGATGGTTGTTTTGCAGTGTTATTTTCTGAAGAACATAGATCGTGTGTGTTTCTTTCAGCTTTGTTTCGGTTTGAAGTTGTTATCCTAACACACAAAGCCTTAAGATCTGATTTAAAATCTGTGATGCTCAGAGAGAGAGAGCCTGACGCTTACTTTATTTTTAGTTGAAATTGGTGTGTATTATCACAGAGAGAAGCAAATAAACGTGGAACGCTGAAGATTTCTCTGTTGAGGAGCTGTTTGAGTCAGACATGCTGTGATCTCTGATGAGTGAGTGCTCTTCTGAGCACGACTTCACAGACAAAGGTCAGAATGGAGCATGAAAGGTCGAGTGGGCAAAAGTCTGTAATAGTTGATGTACCAGAAACCTCTATAGACTTGCTCACATACATCCATGCTATTGATTGAACTAGCTCTTCTATGTTCCTAGTATCTTCCTAAACTGTTAACCACTTAAGTACAATAGAAGGATGTTTATACTCATTTACTGGAACCAATATTTAAATATTCCTTACTACTAGCTTAAAATCCTCTGCATTAAAAGCAATAGCATTTTCAATTTCACGGCTTTGTTATTGTTTGGGAAAAAAAACCAAAGTCTATCAAACACAGTGGATTATACTTATGTGTGGTGCTGTGTAGAGCTTTTTGCATGCTCAGCTCCAGTGGGCCTGTTGGGGAATAATCTCCCGCCTCTCCATTGCAATCTCCAGATCCTCAGGGTCAGATAATCCAAGCTGAACCAAAACAAATGTACACCCAAACACTGCTCTATGTGTTCTTTCACAGCTGTGCAGTTCATACTGCTGATGGACTGAGCACTCCTTTGAAGTCCCTTTAAAGGACCAGAGTTGTTGAGGAGAACGGCTGTCTGAGCAGCCAGTGGCAGGATGGCAAACCCACCTGAAGAGCAGCCAGGCTGCATCTGTGGCACTAGCAAGGAAGTCGGCTTGACAGCCCTGCAGGAATGGATGCTCTGAGGTTTTGGCAGGACAGGGAGCGGTTCTCTTTGCTTTTTCCAGTCTG